CACCAAAGAAAATTCGGTGTTTTTGCAACAGGCTGCTAGTACAAAGTGCCTAAAGTTCGAATTTATGTCTAGAAACACTGGTTCCTTAGGTGTCTTGTTTATGTTTGAATGATGTTTAGGTCATTATGAAGGGATTTATCTGCAATAAAATCCTCTGAAAATGGTCAGGTACAAGGACTAGATTGGCTGCCTTTTCCCTCATTTTCAATGTCCACAGAAAAACTTGAATGACCTCCAAAAGTCCTAGAGAAATATTGCTCCAAATCATTTTAGCAAAAATGAAGGCTGGTTCAACAGAAGCAAATGATAAAGAAATGAGGGGTGGCTCAAGACTTGCACAGTGCATCATATATATATAATAAAATCAAGCTTTGTGAATATAAATGACTCTTCTGTCATGAAATTAAAATCATACAATGCTTCATAAGAGTTATAAGGGTATAAATGCTAAAAATGGGACATTTTAGCCCATTGCTAGATGGTTTCAGGGCATAAATAATATCAGACATAATTATCTGATGTAGATAAATATTAGCGTAATATAACTCCTTATCATATAGAAGTTTAAAGACATTATCTGCTGGGAAAATACCTCAAAATCATTTATTACATTAATGCTAAATGATGCAGGATTTACCTTAATAGCCATATAAAACTTGAGAAGTGGTAGCTATCGTAGGAAAAATATTTTATAACTTAATATTCTGTTATAAGTGAATATTTTTAATATTTTCAGAGTAGCACTAAACCTTCAACTCCTATACTGCTATAACCCACACGGACCGTAACTTTGGTTGTGCAGCTTACGTCCAAACCAAAATAAATGACTCAGTCAATACAACACAGACTGGTAAATATCTAATAACCACATCTCTTACATCCCCATAGAATTCAGTCTCACCTGCCATTCTGTGTGCTGTTGCTTTCTGCGCGAGTCCAAACAGTAAGGAGAGCTGTGCCACAGGCCATGTCACAACTCGCCACAACCACACTTTGGTTCCCACTCTAGAGTGGGCCATGCTCCGTCTCCACTTTACGCTATTACAAAATTCCCCAAATCCCATCCAGTTCCCCCGGGATCTTTAGTCCTCTTGGAAAGGAAGCGACGATGGAGGGGGGAAACAGGGGGAAAAGGTCCAGAGGGAGAAACTTGGAGTGAGTACGAAAGCCACTTATGTGGCACTGCTAACCCTCTCACTATGTGCAGGAATGCAATTCATATCTATGTGAAAAAATGTTGGGCTACCAAAGACAGCACTGTGCGCCCGGACGGCAGCAAGCTGTACAAACAATGAAAGCCTAATAGCTCTGAATGACAGTGATCTATCAACTGCTGGTTTATTTTATCTACAACTCTGGATGAAGATCATTTCATTTCATGTTATCTACCAATCAAATAATTAAGTTTTTAAGATACTCTTACACTTAGTTATGGAAATAATTTACTGCTGAAGCAGGAAATCACTGACAGCAAACGAGATACAAAAACTGTGAACAGCAATAAAAAGCTCACTGTAAAGGCGCTCCACAGTGGTTCTGCCACATTCGCTGTAGTTTTATCATTAGCACTGTACAGAGGGAAAGCACCCCCCTGACATGTACATACACACACACAGAGACAGTTATGATAATCCTTAATTTAAATATACAGTTCCCCTTCCGTTGATGTAAACAGTAAATAGGGATGTTTGGCTTAAAATGCTTATATTTGTGTTATGTCTGTGTGTGTGTGTGTGTGTGTGTGTGTGTGTGTGTGTGTGCACCATGTTTAGATATCTTTGTGAGGACCAAAGATTGGAATGCTACTACACTTGTGGGGAGCAATGGTCCCTTATGGGGACAAAATGCCTGTTCCCACTAGTTTGAAGGCATTTTTGAGACTCAAAATGTGCTTAGCGTGTAGTTAGGTTTAGGCTAAGTGTTAAGGTTGGGCTTAAGCGTTATATCAATTAGATGTCCTCACTAAGATATGAAAACAAGTGTGTGTCTCAGAGATTTGGACAACAGGTCAAGGAGGAAATCTAGTAAACACCGATGTCTCATTTTAAAATTCTTTTTATATTACATTTTGTCTTTGGCGAATGAGGATTATCCTGTGAAGTAACCCACGGGCAACAAGAGCAGCTATGACATCAACTAAAAACAAGATTTTCCTCAGATTTGATTTGTTCTGCATTGTTTCTGTGTGTATGCAACTCATCCTGTAAGTAAACCGTTAAACTTGTGGAAAACATCTACATGGAGATGCCGATGTGCACTTTGAAGAAGCAAATCTAACTTTCTGTTAAAATATCACATTCAGACTAAATAAATATACATTTGCTGGGAATAGCAGTTGAACAATTGTAACATGCACTGTTATATAGTTACAAATATCCAAACTTATATCTCCAGACGATGAATATTTAATTGATAAATCAATAATCAGAATATTTGCATATTAGATTCTTGTTGACTGTCACCTAATTAATTATTCGACTTACTGTTGCAGCTCTTCCCGTAGCTCTATTTTAATCTGTCCTTGAGATATTTACAAGTTTAAAATCGAGCCCTCATCTCCAACTCCAATGACTTCTATCATGTCGTCATTATTGAGAATACCTAGTTTAACCTGATCCTCCGACAGTTTTACCATCTTACCTTGTAGCTGCTGCTGCTCCAGGGCCAGCGTCTCCAGCGTGTAATTGCAGAACTCTAGATTCTCCAAGGCCTGGACGCGGGCTGTCTCATCCTGCTCCTCCTCCTCCAGCATCGCCCTGAGTTCCTCCGCCGTGTGTGCGTAAGCCTCCATGTCGCGTTCCACTTCTTGTAGCCGTAGCAACAGCTGTTGCCTTTCCTCCTCCTCTTCCTCCCTCTGTGTCTGAGTCTCTAGCTCCATCTCTCCATCTCTCTCCAGCTCTTGCTCTGCCTCAAGCTGACACTGGATCTCATGTTCCTGGGCCGCTTCAGGGTCGCCCTGCTCAACCTGGCCTCCCGTTGTTTGGTCGAGGAGGTTTGCAGCCGGCTCGTCGGGGGTGTAAAAGATGGGTGTGTTGATGAGGGAGTTGCCGGTTGGAGGAGTAGTGCGATTCTGTCTCGGGCACCGGGGAGGAGGGCGTGGAGCCGGGCGAGTCGGTTTGTACGCAGCTGGAGCTGGTGGGCGCGTGGCTCTGGGACGAGGAGGCGGAGGGCGGAGGGTTCTGCGTCTTTCCAAAGAGTGAGAGTCAGACTGCAGGAGGTGGGACACAGGAGAGTGCGAGGAGCCTCGAATGATATCCCTTTCGTCTTTGTAGTCCAGGATAGAAAAGTGCCGTGAGATATGGGGCTGATTGCTCAAGCTTTTCTCAAATTCAAAGAGCTGCTGTGACAGCTTCGTCTCCAGGTCACTGGTCGAGCTTGCCAAGGTTTCTAAGGTTACGGATGTAGGCAGTAGCCCGTTAGAGCGACGTGTCATCTGTTGGTTACGCAGGCGGATCTCAGAGCTCATCATATCAGCATCGCTGGCACTTGCATGGCGAGTTAGCCTCTTATACTTTTGGCCCTCCACACTGTTTAATGCCTGACCTCTGTTATTGAAGGAGGCGTTCTTTCTTTGCTGCCTCTGGTAATATTTGCTGTCTTTAGACCACCCAGGTTGGGTGTTATGAAGTGTTAGGCTATGACTTAGCTTGGGTTGTCGAGGCTGATGGTTACCATTGGTAGAGGTAGGCAGATTTCTGCTAGTAGCTGGGCCAACGTGCTGCCTATGGCTATGTGGGGGAAAGTTAGGCCGTGGTGGCAGCCTGGGCCTTTCTGGAGGAGTGGATTTCGGCCTCTGAGGCCCCCTTTGTGCTGGGGGGGCAGGTCTACGTGGCTGAGAGTCAGCCCTTTGACCACAGTCTGTCTGCCCTGCGTTACCAGTCTGAGCAACAGTACTTTGGTTTTCACATGCCCACCGGTGCTCCTCAGCCCTCTCAAAATAGTCCAGGTCCCACACTGTGTGATCCTCATACATGCTCCACTCTTTCTCTGGATCATTGGGACATAAATGATCAGAGGTGTGTTCAGTATTGCTGATCTCCTTCTCTTCTTCTGTCTCAACAACACCCGTTTCTTCTGCAATTTTTTGAACATGCCCCTCTATTTTGACAAAGCGATGAGGAAAGATACCCCGCTGCCCTCGCACCTGTCCCTCCAGCCAACCATCTTCCAATGTACCGACAATACGGATTCGATCCCCCACATCAAAGTCCAACTCGCCTGGTTCCATGGCTCGAAACTCATACTGTGCTACTCCATAGACTCCGCCCTCCTCTTCCTCCTGCTCTTCCTCTACTACTTTTTGTTCTTCCTCCTCTCTCAACGTTTCCTCCTCTTCTTCCATTCCTGCCTCCTCATTCCCCTCTTCAGCCTCAAAGGCTTCCTCGTAGATGCATGGCTGAGGGTCTTTGTTCAAATACTGGGAGTCTACAGGTTCCTGAGGAGACCGAAGGGGACCTGATAGCTCCACAAACCCCTCTGGGAAGTTTCCCCTGCGGCCATCAAGTTCGCCCTGGAACCAGCCCGGCTCAGGCAGGCCTGTGATGATGATCACGTCCCCCTCACGGAAGTCCAGCTCCTCACTGAGCTGCGCATGGAGGCTCATAAGGGCCCGGGCTTGACCTAGAGCATAAGGTGGGAGCTCTGACGCCTGGGCCTGGGCTGAGCGCTCAGACAGCTGCCGGGAACGGCATGAAAGGGTCAGCTCCTTCACACATGATGTCGGGAAGAGACCACGGGCACCCCAGGCATTACAGCCACGTTGCCAGATTTCCCCGAGGTCCACGGACCCTCCCGCCTCCCCAACTACCACATCACCTGAAGAGACAGAGAATAAAGAGGATTTAATTTAATCTTGATATTAATGAAAATAAGATTGTTAAAGGACAACAGAAAGTTTCTGTTCTGTCACTTAAATGACTGTTAAGATACACATTAAGCACACAAGAGCTCATGCTAGTTCCCTAAATAAATCTACAGTAAAGATGTTGTCTATATTCTTACTATTCAACCAATTAAACAAGAGCTCTCCTGCTTGTGTGCGGCCATAAACTAAGAGCAAGTTTAGTGATATGTAGTTACTTGTTTTTCTTCACTTTTTGCAGAACATTGATTTTTTTTCATGTTTTTGTGTGAAATCAAGTTGCTTGGCTCAAGTAAATTGCTTAATTGTAGCATTTTTAATAACCTGTTTTGGGTCTACACTGTTCCTAACATAGAACTGGAGAATCCGGGATTATGGGAATGTTGGTTGGATGGTGAGGAGTCATGGAGGTCACATTCCAAAGACCTGCAGCTCCACCTCCCATTGTGTCTGGGACCAAAACTGGCACACAGCAATCCTGACCGTGGAAATCATACTGGAAATGAACGCTTCAGCTCTCGGATGGCCAGTAATGACTGTTTCCTATGTGTCCTCTACTATTTATGACAATACAAACATACACTGCATCCAAACCAGCAGCACAAGTGTTATTGACTACGGCTGATAATGGGCTATGATAAGAATCGAAGGCAAACACAATGATAAGTATGTATGGATAATAAAAGAAAGCTGGGTGAATTATTAACTAATTATCTGCTACAGTTGGATTCAAATGCTTCAGCATGACCAGCAGTGATCAGCTACATGAAGTTAAAATAATTCTGTTGTTTAAAATCGAAATTACAGTTGAATTCTGAAAATCGTGAAGATCTTTCTTTTCATTACATGAATACTCACACACAACAAAACTGCCATCTCTCAATAGTACAAAGTAATTAAGTAAATAAGGAATTTGAATAGGAACTGATCATATAAAAAGAACAAGGAAAATAAAAACTGATCAAATAAGTCAGAGTATGAAGAACAGTGTGGTAAGATCACACAACAGAACATGGAAAAAAGGGTATTTTTTGGTGTAGTCGCATGGGTTTTTACTGTTCTATAGCAACTCCCAGGGTGAAAGGTCACTTAATTCAACTACTTCTAAGGCTACTGCTACTACTAGCACTAATAACATTAAAAGCATGAAAAGTGTTACCAATATAAAAGATCTGTGCAAACATCTGTGCTGTCTGCCTGAGAGTGTTGCAAGTGACAAATCGTCAAAAAAAGAAGAAAAAAACACCACAATGAGAAACAGAAACATGCAGAGAAAACAAACAAAAAAAAAATCATCACCTAGGGACGTTGGTTTAACTTTTGCCAATGAGGACATCTAGTGGCCAGTTCTGGAATCAGCTTTGTGTTTTTATCATTTAAGCCTATCTCTTTTCTTTAAGTACATACAGCAGCTACCATCAAAAAATACCTGCTGGTTTTATGTTATATGAATAAAATTGGACATATTTACTAATATTTCACTGGGCCTTGATCTTTGAGGATTGTGAATAAGAATGATCCGATCATGCTTGCATGCAGAAAAGCACAATGATTTGAATAGAGATACAATCTCTAAAGGCTGTATTGAGTTTCATATCTTTGGCACATTTTTGCACAAAGAATAATGTACTAACAGCAGAAAACACTATAATGTTCACCGTCAATCATGTGTGTTAACGTCAATAACCAATCTTACTGTGTAGAGCATTGCGTGCTTTTGTGACTAGATTGAGTTAAACGAATAGAGTTAAATCAGGGTCGAAAGTTTTATTCATTTGAAAAAAGTAAACTGAAGCTGAAATTCAAAGTTTTGATAAAAATAAATATGAATATTTTTTTTATTTTGAATAAATTATGTTTTCATGCAAATCCCTTTTTTCTTTTTTTACACTTTCAATTTTTTTTAGTTTCAAACCCTTTTTTCAGTTTTCAGACTTTTGACCCTTTTTGTGTTTGTGGGCGTGTCAGCATTTTGGATAAAGATGGCCACCGCGCCTTCATGGGATACCACCAGCACCAGCCAACACGTAAGAAACGCGGTTTCTGATTATCCTACGATGGACTACATTGACGGATGAATGCTTGTAACATATTGATATACATTAAGGTGGGGAAAAAATGTACCCCAGCAACAAGGAATACTGTTATCTGATTGGCTGGTAGGTCGCTAATCCCCAAGAGCTATGACCTCCGTAGAGAAATGTAAGACTCCCCCATTCATTTCTGTCTAATATACTGAAATTAGAATCCACCAACTTAATATGCCTTTACACCTTAGTACAGCTTTAACCTTAATGTATACATGGAGTTCATACCTACCAGTCAATCAGATAACAGATTTTGAATTTCAAAATTCAAAATTTCATGGTAGGAATCTCAAAATTTCAATTTAATAACTCGAAATTTTGAGATAACATAAACATTCTGACACAAAACCAGTTTACCTGAGTATTGCGACATCAACAAGTAGTGTTAAGCTAAGTGAGAAAACATGATTTGTTAGTGTTATATTTCTCACTGTTTGCAACACATGTGTTAAGTCACAACAAGTTCAAAATAAAGTATCAGACGACAAACCAAAAGCAGTCATTCACACTTTTGCTATTATGTTACAAGTCAGCACTGGCTGTGTGTGAGAGAGCGTGCAGTATGTTCGTACCTCTCTTCAGGGACAGATTTCCTGGCTCTGCTGAGCTGAAATCATTAATGCACACATACAGTCTGTCTCCAGGCTTGGTGCTGGGAATGGTGACCTCTTCCACAAAGGTGCTGGGGAACTGACCTGAAGGAACAGATGTAAACATCATCGGTAAATTCATTAAAGACATCTCCTACAAATGCCTGAAACGTCAGGCAGTGACAACACCTTCCTGAATAATTCTTCTCTTTAGGGGTTGCCACAGCAGATCATGTGCCCCCAAATGTCCAAACCACCTCAGCCTTGCCTCTCCAACTTTGTCTCCAAACCACTCAACCTGAGCTGTCCCTACCTTTCCATCCCGCTCGCCCCAATGAAAAATCTTCACATCATCAGCTCAGCCTCCGGTCTTTTTGTCAGTGCCATCGTCTCCAAACCATCACACCAGATCTCACTACCAAACCTTCCCTTTCACTCTTGCTGCTATCTTTCTGGCACCCCATGAGCGCCCCATCTTCACCCACTCCAACCTCCTTCACCTCTCGTGTGTACATTCCATTGCTCTGGATGGCTGAACCCACATATTTAAACTCATCTATCTTCACTACTGCTATTCCCTGCAGCTTCGATGTAACACCATCTCACTTTTTTTGTTGACATTTTGCACACGTTTACAGAATATCAACAAATACCATTTTCAGGATCAGCTGAACAAGCTATTGTTGACTTCCCCTCTGCATGAGTAGGGGTGTTTGACTGTTCGGCTTCTCTCACACATGAACACAGATCACTTCAGATCCAGGTTTACTTCTGGAACTCGACTTGATTAAGGTGAGGAGGTTTCCTGGTCAGAAGCTGCAGGATAAAGGGAACTCGCTAACTGTGCATTCATCTGCACTATTCTCACACTGATGTATTGTGCTGCAAATCAATCACAGAATTTGTGTTGTGCTCTTGTAGGTTAAACACTGTGTAATACCCAGTTTGGCTGGACATAGGGCTGTTCAATATAACGATATATATCGGATGACGATATAAAAACGTCTATCGTTTCATTTTACGCTATCGTTTGTTTCGTGGTGTCGCAAAATAAACTGTTTACGGCAATATTTTTTCATCGTTTTGATGGTCACTGTAGTGGCTATATTCATTTCTTAAAGTTCTCTCTTTCTCTTATATTTTATATAACCACACTATGGACGAACAAGCGGCTGTTTTTATGCGTTTTGGTTAGCAACAACAACGGTAACAGCATCGCGTGTCCGCTTGTTTATGTTCCACATAAACCTTTCACAATAAAGCTCAAGATCCTGTTGAGACTTTTCAAAATAAACTGAATCACGTGAAAGAGCGGATTATTTACGGATGAGAATTAAAAAAGAGCCGCCAGGTGCTAAAAAATAAATCTTAGACTCAAACGTTAGAACAGGCTTTTCCCCGCAGCACGCCGTGTAATAAATACTCACAAAGAAAACGGCGGCCTTTACAACTTATGTCTAAAAATGTATAGTTTCATGCATCGGTTAAAACACTCGACTCCAGCTACATGACGTGCAGCTGGAAACACTTCCCGCAAGACGAGCTGCCCGAGATTCACAGAATTTACAGAAAATGTTACATTTTTGTGATTTATATCGTTATCAGGACGATAGAATTGTTATATCAGGATATGAGATTTTGGTCATATCGCACAGCCCTAGCTGGACACACAGGAAAGTTCAGGCATGTGTAAAAACAGCTTAAGTGGATTTCTCTGGGTTGGACCCCCACCCAAACCCCCAAGGGCAAAAACAGATGATCACAAATAATCATTTCTACTTGATTATTTCCAGACTAGTTAATAATTTAAACCTCTCTGTCTCACCCTCACCAGTCATGAAAGTGTTAAGTTACAAACAGAAGAAAGGAGGATCACGTGCATGAGTGTGTGAATGTCAAAATAGCAATAAGTCACTAAAATTCCATGTAGCTTGTTTCCATGTTTAGTAACTCTTAGTAGGTGTCTCTATTTGTCTTTATGGAAACCTTTATTCATGCAGATCCCTCAACAGTAATAACGAAAACAGTCACTTTACCTGTAACGCCATCTTTGTTGCCGAGCAACCAGAACTCATCTACGACACTGAGCACCTCGATGACATCGCCAGTAAATAGTGGTAGCTCCTCGGAGACGCTGGGGAGAAACTCAAACACAGCGCGCACCACAGATCCTGCTTCCATTACTCATAACCTGCAGAGGCAGACAGAGAGATTTGAAAGGTCACTCTCAAACTAGTCCATGTACAACTTCAATTAAAAGGGTGATTCATTAAAAAAAAAAAGATCTACAGCCTCTGGGAGAGAGCTAGCCTTGGTGAAATAACAGCAAATGAAAGGGGAAGCGAGAGCGTGAGAAACCATCAATAGAAAGGAGACAGACAAGAAAAAGAAAAAGAGAGCCTCCATTTAGGAAGGCTGAAGGACATTCCTCCTCTATTCTCCTCTTTCTCCTGAGGAAATAAACATTACAAAGGAAAGCAACAGCAGCTCAAATGGCACACTCCTTCCTTCGACTGGACGCTGTGTATTACAGAAATATGCAAACAGCAGATTTTCTAGTGACATCATCTCTGAGCAGTGAGCAAAACTGGCTGTCAGATAAACTGTTCCTAGATGAAAACCTGGATATGAGTCACAAGTTTAAGCTACTG